CTATAATAAAAACAATTGTTAAATCGCATCATCAAAATTATTGGAAAATTGTATTTTGTTCTTCTTCCGAATTGTTTTACAAAGCACAAAATAAAAGTTATATTTTTTCTTTGACAGCCTCACGGCAACGAGTAATGTTGGAGACAGCCAGCATCGCCGGCGGTGCCACAATAGCAGTATTCCTTGTTGTTATCATTTGTATAACAGCTTACATTCATTGTAAACGAAAACAGAAGGAATTACGGTCGAGGTAATTGATCTTTTTTTATTTATTATTGTTGTTTCATTGTAACTAGAACTTTAGTATATGCAATCGATATTACGTATCATTCATAATTTAATTTTCCGAAGAAATTCACAACTTTCTCAATAGCGATTTTTTGTATAAATTTAAAATACATTCTATTTTTTTCTTTTTATTACAGCAATAACTGCGTCGACACGGTAGATGGTCCTGGCCGAGATCCGGAGTTGAGGCCGTTTAGCAACCGCAGCCGTTCTCTTATGAGCTTCATGGCCAAGAATTCTAACAACTCGGTAAGAAAAGAAAGATGAAATTTGAGTCACATGGAAATAATTTTTAATTTTTCAAACCTATTGAGATATTAATGCCAAATAAATACGCAATACTGATTCTAACAGTTCGCAACTATTATAATAATAATAGTGACGATAATAATAATAAATATAATATAATAATATATTTTTAAATGTCTTTTCTTAGGCGACAATAGAGCAAACAAGAATGCCCAATTGGAATTGTCCAGAAGAATCGATGAAGATGGCATCCATCAGCGAAAACAAGTATTCGAGCCAATAACGAATCATGTGACAATGATTCGTTATCGATGACATTTTTCGAAATCTACGAAAGATCGTCGAATCAACTACTTGTAGCTGAAGGTTCGAGATATCTTGAACAGCGGCCTTTAGTAATCTTTATTATTAGCGAACTTGTTGGGAATATTCCAACTATTATTTGATTCAGCGAATGATCGATCATCTTAACGCGATATTGAAAAAATAAAGCGAATATCAAATATAATATTAATGATTTCTGAGCTGATGACATGTATCGACACGACAATGTCGGCTTCCTTTGACTATTATATCGTTACGTCGAGACATTCCCATATTGTCGCACTCGTATTCTCCGTTTCATCGAAGGGTTTGTTAGACGCTCGTATGATCTTTATAATAAATCATCCATGAAGAATAAATCTTTCGTCCAAGATTTAAAAACGGAAAAAACTTTGCATGAATAATGTGATATTCGAAAATGAAATATTATTTCCGTAGATTCTTCTGTGAAAGTGACAGATTCGTGACCATTGAATGTTGTTTTACGCAAACATTTGTATAGTATCGTGTCTTATTGTCATCACTCATTATCAACGAAGGAAAAAAAATGATGGACTCAACAGTTGCAAAAGTAGTGCCTTTCTACTCTTGTTTGTAAGAAAGCAAATAATTATGATATATCTGATCAAGAAAGATCAAATAGGAAAAAAGAAAGAGAAGGAAAGCGAAAGAGAAAAAGAGAAAACCACCGTCTATTTCTTTCACTAAAATTCGCGACGAGCGTCGTCCAATTGCTAATCGTGTTACGAGCGCAGGACGCTGATACACGCTAGTGACGAAATCTACTTGTAAAACACGAAATTAATAGCAGTAAAGCGCTAATAGTAAACAAGGTAAAACCTTTGATCCTTGGTACGCGTGCTATTCATTCCTAATCCTATTTTGCCTCAATCCTAATTTTGTTTGTTATTCATGAAAGACTTTAATCTGGTATACTTCCAGATTTATATGATAAACGTAAATGCGTTCTATGATATCTCACGTTCTCGTCGCAAAAGTCTAGTACATAGCGATATATATATTTATCGACTTACATTCTACTTTTATTAAGTCCTTCCAAAGAATGTTCGTGAACGCGATTGATCGTACCATTAGTATCAAAGGATTAATGAACATATGTGTCTTATATAGAAATATCTAAGATTTAAATTTAGATTAAATCCGATGTCTTACCAGAAAACAATAGTTCCCTAAACACATATGCATATACATTTTGCCGCTAAAAATAGAGATGCTATTTATTACTAATTGGTTGAAAAGTCTATTGACGTCAGATCGCCATCCGGCGTTATACTGTTATATATTGACAAATATTTTCTCAAGACGTTTTGCCCTTATAACGAAATATCATTTACCAAATCTTAGGCATACAAAAATGACGTACTTCTAGTGAATCGGTTTTTGTGTTCCCATGTCTGTAACCAAGCAGTAAAAATTGAAAACAGAATTAAAAGCGGCGCTATTATTATAAAATAGAGCGACAAACACGGTAGAATAATAAATTGAATAATTTTGTGAATGCAAATCATAATTTGCTTAATTTCACGATAGAAAAACTTAATAATTTATTTCATCTATTTAGATGCAAGAAAATTCAATATGGAATTCAAGGAATTTCTGACACTTCTATTTATCTCGTTTCCAAAACAATGAAATCATTGCTGAATGATATAGACATATATCATTTTAGATGTTAATTTCGATTAATTTCCTATTAATATTCATATCATGTAGGAAATGAAGGAGTAACATGCTAAAATTGTTGAATTGTTTGGGAAATAAAAAATGAGAAAAACGCTATATTATCTAATCTCAAATTATATTGATCATGCATTGTTCTCTCTTGTTTTGTTACTTATTTATTTAGATAAAAGGCTTAGTGTCTGATCTCATACGCAATTATAACCAAATTTATGATTTCGCTCACATATCGCTTTGTTATTCGAACCTTTTCAACTTTCAAATTACTAGTTTATAATTTATATAACATAAAAATCTTAACAATGCAAAATAAAATTATAATATGTGTATTTGAAGATATCGTGTAAAAAGCTAGGCCTCTTTGTCATTTCGTCTCAGTTTTTTGTAAATAGTAAATTATTTTATGTTAAAAAAATCCGAGATTGTAAATTATATGAATTATAAAAAAGCAACATTTTCGTCGCACCAACGTCGTATTATGCTGTACTACGCTCCACCATCTTGATACCTCATCATACCACAATGCTCTGCGCTTCAAAAAATGCAAAATGCATATTTTTATAATTATATAATTCGTTAAAGGAATATACCTAATGGAGTAATAGAGAAAGTACTGAAAATATTAACGATAATTCAATAGTAATTTGTATATTTGTAGATACTCTGGAGTAAAAAAAGGATAGCTTCCAAATATTTTGTTTTATTTTATTTTATTTTTTTTTCTGTATAAATCGCCCAACCGTCGCTTGTCGCTTTGAAACATATCTACTGATGCTTATGACGACAAATAGCTTTCTTTATTCAATACACAAAATTTCTGTTTACTACAATGAAAATGATGGAGATAGAGAGAAAAAACTTAAACGAGGAAACAAAAGCGTGGCCTAAACGTTTATAAAAGCGAACGCAAATGGTATTTTTATTATTTATAAATAGTCTTCATTAATAAAATGTATTCTAATTTAATTTCCCATATTTCATATTGTATGTGGTTCCTAATTTATTATTATTATAAACATCTACACAAATATACATCACACATACATACACACATACATAAACGTAATAATAATAATGATATATATGAATATTATTATTATCATTATTATTATTATTATTGTTAGTATTATTAATGTAACTACGACTCTATATACATATA